TTACAATCGAGAAAGTAAAAATTACATTACCACTGAGCAGGCACAAGAATTCTACAATCTATTGATTTTTCTCTATTCTATTTTAAATCTTGTTTGTTAAAGGAAAAATGAAGAACAGGAGAAAGAGAAGTTTTTTCATCCCTCTTGGTAAACAATCAACTCTTTGGAAAACAACTCCTGTTTGCCGAGTTCTATCAATTGTAAATGTCCTGTCGATCAATCATCGAAAGAGATGTTTTTGAGGTCATGGTCAGGAAAATGAAAAGTCGATAACTCGCACCTGAATTGCTAGAACCCCGCACAGTTGAACAGTCTGTAAAGATATCATAGTCTAAGTCCCTTAAGAATATTTGTAGATTGTTATGGTTTCTTTAGTCCTTATTTGTATTAAAAAATTAATCTAAACAAAATTGCTATTATCTTGTCCTCTTTTGTTACACGTCTTCTGTCTTTATGAAATTGACGCATTGAGAGATGCGTCATAGATAAAACAAAATGTATCCACTTTTTGGTTACCAGGGCGCGGTATTAAGAGCTTTCCTGTCCAAAAATCGCCGTTTTCCCCTGCACCATTACAATATCTACTTTATACTGCCTAAGCAGTACACGAGGAAGTAAATCAAATATCATATTTCTCTACTTTGCAGTTGTGAAGATACAGAAAAGAAAGCGAGAGCTGGGGGCATTAAAATGGATTGAAATGATAATTATATTCAAAAGGATACTCAAGTTTTCTCACTAATAAAATTAAAAATTAAAAACAATAAATTGCACTTCTTTTTTTCCTATCTGGTGGCGTTTAAACTCTTATTTTGATTTTAGAAAATTAAAAATTCTCTCAATTCCTTGAAGTTTGTAAGAAGGAGACTCAAAGCCGGCGATAGGGGTTACAGTAACAAGAGAAATAGATTAATTAAAGTAAAGGAATGAAATAAAACTACTAATAATTTTAGAAGTTAAACAGAAACGGGTATGCAAATCTATACTTATTCCAATCCCCGTGATGTCGACGAAATGCAAAGAACATGAAAATAGCCCCAGCCATTACACCACGCATTTATTTCCCCCTCGTCGACCCTCCCCCCTCCCAAGCGTAGTTCTTCCTCCATCAACCCTCACCCCCGCGCACGCTCAGAAGCCCAGCGGCGGCAGGCCTCACCGTCGTCTCCAGCTTCTGCCCGTTGGCCCACACATCCAGCGTGTCTCGCTCTGGAACAAGCGCGCAGCGCCCTCTCGTTCATTCGCATTGTTGTAAAAAGCAACGGATACAGAATGTTCAAACAAATGTCACCAGATCCCAAATATGAGATCTACGTTTTCTAGTTCCAGTTTTAAGACATGAATTTAATTCTAAATTCAGTATGAAATTTAATAAAGGTTCGCTTTTAAAGCTTACTTTAATTTTTTTAAAGTAATTCCTAAATAAAAAAATATATTCCATCTCTTTAATCTGGAAATAGAAATTGACAGTCTACATAAAGATAAAAAGCTTGATCATTAGCAGAATTAGAATATTCGAATTCGGGAACTTGATCCTTTTAAGCACTTTGTATAAAAATTATAAAATTATTTTCAAAAACAGATTGAGAAGTTCATGAATCAAGGAAATATTTCGCTCCAAAGATAAAATTATCTAGAATTCAATTCATTTACATCTAATTACTACATAATATGTAATTTGAAACAATGTTTATTCAATATTGCGCCATAAACATGTATATTTACAATAAAAGTAAGAAAGAAATGGAGTTTGTTTAGTCGCATTTGTTTAAATAAAATTATTTCACCATTTTATAGCTAAGAACTAGTGGTGCAACAACACTACATATTTTCCCGCATTATTTCTGACTTTTGCAATTTTCGAAATCCCAGAGAGTTTTAATCGACTTTTGCTCAAACCGAGGAGAAAAGGATTTAAACAATTAGGAACTATTTTTGAAAAAATGTTCTTATAAATTGCATTAACTTCAAGCAAAAATTACGCGAATCAAGCGAAAACTACTTCTTTTTCAAAAAAATGTACATGACCTTTTTTAAAGATCTGATTTTTAAAACAGATATCACTTAAGACAAAAATATCCATTTTCAATATTATACTTTTCCGATGTCAAATATTTACAATTTTTAAAAATACAGAGTTCACCAAAAATAGGAGCAGCAACAACTTTTTACCGTTCTTTGATAAATACACGGAGAAAATTTAAAGAAAAAACTTGAAGCCGTTTTGAGAAAATAATTGTTTAAAAATGGCCTATACTTCACGAAAAAACTATTCGTATTTTCGAAAAAAGTGTACGTGATCTGATTATAATCGTCTTTGAACAACAGAGTTTTATGAAGAAAAAATCTATCATCCATGCTGTAGTTGTAGAAAGTCGCCGAACGTTTTTGGACTTATGTAATTTTCGAAAATTCAGAGAATTAAACAAAAAATTGTCATTCGCCATTTTATATGCGTTTTCGTTCAATCCGAGCAAAAAATTAAAGATAAAATGTGGATTCATTTTTGAGAAAATTTTAAAAATGTTGAGGGTTCATGTGAAGTACCCAAAAAAATTGAAATATCTCTTTGAAATTCAAAGGGCAGCGGCATTAGCCAGATTGATCGAGGAATATTTATTTTGGTGAAAATCCTGCCCATGGTCATTGACCCACCATTGATTCTGACAACAGGGCGTGTTATATAGGAAATAATTCACTACAAATGTTTTCTGTTTTATTGATTCGTTGATTCATCAACATTTTTGGAACCAGTAACCTACGATATGAAGTTTTCCAATGAAAACCTGAAATTATTATTGGAAATTTTCATCCACGAACAAAAACATCGAAAATGTAGAATCATCGTGCACAAAACATTGATTTGCTCCTACTATCGAATCACATGTTGACTCTCATTCTTCTGCATTCACTCATGTAACATGAAATTAACACAAACCTAAGTGGGGATTCGACTTATTATTTGAATCGTGGCAGAGATGAGATTGTAAGTATTCTCTTCAAGTTTACATGTTAATAAAACTGAGGTATGTAAATTAAAACATCATCAAATATTACCTTTAATAATGGTAAAACGTTCTCTCTCATAACTAACAATTGATGTGGATTATAATATTCAGAAAGGTCTTTCTATCTCATTTTCAAACATCTTTCCCCCTAAAACTCCTTCCCAACCCTTAATACACCCCGATCACGCCCACGATATTTCCGAAGACAAAAGAAAAAAGAAAAGAAATCAGACTTTTGAAATTCATTCTCTGCTCTGAAGCATAGCTGCTGGTCGATAGGGAAACCACATCTGGTTTCTTGACAACTTGCGTGCACGTCACAAACTGATTAAAGTGGAGCTGTGACATTTACAACCACGGTGCACGACCGCCCGGAGAACGCCCTTCCACACCGCAGGCTGCCGTCCACCTGCCCTTTGCACAAGTGCCGAGGGCTGAATCATTCAGTAGCAATCGATTGCCGGAACGCTTTGAACGCACGTTGAAGGCAAACTGACGTGCTTGTCCAACATTCTAAAACTTCAGTTTTCGAGATAATGTACCTTACCTTGGGAATCGAGAAAGGTCAGAGTCTCATCGTTTAAAATGACTGCATGACTATTCCAGAACAAAACAAATTCAGTCTCATTAGATTTCACGTCAGAAACAACCATCATTAGACCTTCAGTTAGATTTTTTCCCATGTTCATAGCTAGGTAAAATGCATACTATGCATTGAAACGTAATTAAACCGTCGCAATAAAGAAAAAACATGCATATAGTAGTTGGAAAATATCGATTCTAACGAATTATATTTTTCGAAACTCTGAAGTACTTGTCGGAACAGGGGCCGATTGGCCCCTGCTAAGCCGCAATACGCAATGACGTGATACATTGCGGGTTGCGTTAAGAAGACGTGGCTGGAGAAACAGCGTTTTCGAAACTTCAACTCACATTTTCAACCCCACAGTAAAACCTCGTCCTAAATGGAAATTTTATTTGAAAAATTTAGAGTAGTTTTAAAAAAGACGCTTAAGTGATATTCTAAATGTGAAATTTGAACCTCTTTTCACAGAAAACTTCTGCGTTTCCGAAAAACTTAATGAAGTCATTTCATTTGAAGTGACTTCCAGTCACAAGTGCAATAGATTTTACAAATTGTTGGAAATATGCACATTAACGGCTTGAGAGATACTTAAAACAAATTGCATTTGTATAATTTTAGAAAAAACAAACAAAAATACCCAAAACGAACTTTACGTCACATTAAAAAGTGCAATTAGCTCTGTCCCTTCGAACAGTTTGAAGACAAAATTTGGAGTCGTTTTTGAGAAAATATAGTTTTTGAGTTATTTTTTTTAAATTGCAAATATTTCACACAATATTGCACAAAACTACTAAGTTTCAAATAGTGTTCATGAACTTAATAAAAGAACGAATTATAGACAAAGTTAATTTGAAGTCGGAAACCCTCACCGACCTCGAAGGGGTTCCCCAAACAGAAACCAGTGGGGCACCATCCCAGCCGCGAAAAGCTTTAACCTCCCGCCTGGTCTCCCCACTTATTTAATAGTGTAGTGCATGCAAGTGTGTGTGTGTGTGGGGGGGGTAAAGGATTAGGATAAGACAAGGAAGAGGAAGGAAATATCGCGCGCCGTCCGTTGCCCTTTTGTTAGGCTGTTGCTCCGGCCCTCGCCTGGTGTTGATCAGAGAATCCACGAAAGAACATCGACAAGAGTAGACGGCAGCCACAACCCTCCTCCACAGTGGCTGAACTTAGCGATCTAAGTAGTGTCGAAAGTTAGGACCGCCGAGAGTGGAGAGTTAGGAGTTGCCGGTGAGAGGCATTTCGGTGGAGGGGTGGGGCGCAGCGCACTCACCGAGGACGACGCGGTAGGCGTCGGCGCCGATGTGCACGGCCCAGGTCTTGGTGGCGCGGTTCATGAGGTCGGCGTGCGCCTCGAAGGAGCGGCCGTTGACCAGCAGCTCATAGGAGTAGGAGAAGCCCCCCACCGGCTCCACGCGCAGCACGCAGCGCGCGCCGCCCACCGCGAACTCCTCGTCGCCCACCTGCAACCGCACCGCTCCACACCACCCACTCCACACCGCCCGCTCCACATCGCCCACTCCACACCGGCTCCACACCACACTCGCCACCGGTCTCCACACCGGCCATCTCCACACGGCCCACTCCACACGCCCCACTCCACACCAGCCCACCCACACCCCCCTCCACACACCCCTCCACCCACTCCACACCGCCCACTCCACCGCCACTCCACACCGCCCACCCACACGCCTCTCCACACCGCCCACTCCACACCCGCCCACTCCACACCGCACTCACACCCCCACTCGACCGCGCCCACTCCACACCGCCCACTCCACACCACCCACTCCACACCGCCCACTCCACACCGCCCATCTACTCCGCCCACTCCACACCGCCCACTCCATACCACCCACTCCACACCACCCACTCCACACCACCCACTTCTCACCACCCACTCCACCACACTCACTCCCACACACCGCCTCCGGCGCCCGGCCGCCACTCCACACCGTTCGCCTCACGACCCCACCCAAGTCCACACCATCTGCCACCACCCACACTACTCTTCTCCATGGCGCCCCCATCACATCACACCACCCCTCACCAATTCGTATCACCCCCCTCCACTCCACACCACCCTTCCCCGCACCCCCGCCATCACTCCACACCATTCGCCTCCATGCAATCACCACACTGCAACCAACGCACCACATACCGCACACCGCATCCACAACACCGCATCCCCCACACCGCACCTTCCGCGCCCCACCCCCACACTGCATCCGACACACTACATCCGTCATACTGCATCCACCACACTGCGTCCTCTACATTGCATCTGCCGTACGGAATCCGCCATACCGCACTAACCTCACCGGATAGCACAGAATAGACGCACGCGGATGGCGCAGAGAACATTAAAAGGATGACGCAGGTCTCACTTTCCTTAAAACTCCTTATTTTTCGGAAATTGTACAAGTTCAACATTTTTCCTTCTTCCTATAATTACAATATTGAAAACAGTCTTTCTTTTGTAAATTGTGATCTTCAAAGACAAATCTTCAAATAACGTCATGTTAAATATTTCGAAAATATGAGTAATTTTCACATAATTTTGCGTGAAATTTAGAGAATTTTTAAATAGCATAAGGTCTCCTATCCTGTCTTATACGTTTCTGCCCGTATGTATCAAAGAACAGTAAAAACGGCGCTAGTTTTATTTCCATCAAACTATCTGTATCTTCGAAAATTGCAAAAAGTTAGCATTGCAAAACTTGAAGAAAAATATTTTTCTCTTAAATTAAACCTGTTCAAAAAAAGCCACCTTAAAAAGTCATGACCATTTTTTTAAAAAAAGACAGGAATGTTTGGTTAATTATATTTTTTTCTTCAAAAACATTCCAAATTTTCCTTTAAAATGATTTCACAAACAGAACGGGAATCACAAAAAAATGGCACTGGTCTCAGTTTCGTTGACTTATCTGAATTTTCGAAAATTGAATAAGAAATCATGCGAGAAATTAAGTGCCACCTCTCCTAGTAACTTCGCTCGTAACCTAACTGTGTAGGTAGAGTGGAAAATGCTGCCACCGTGGGGAGTGTAACCCTAGGACCTCCCGGTCAGAAGCACTGCAGTGACATCAGTTGATGCACTGAGCCCCCTCTCCCAGTAACTTCGCTCGTAACCTAGCTGTGTAAGTAGAGTGGAAAATGCTGCCACCGTGGGGAGTGTAACCCTAGGACCTCCCGGTCAGAGGCAGTGCAGTGACATCAGTTGATGCCCTGAGCCCGTTCTCCCGGTGACCGAATTGGACCTGGCTGTGCAGCCAGAGTGGAACAACGTGCAGAGAGACGGCGCGAGGAGCCGACTGACCAGCTTGAACATCCAGTCGCGGCGAAGGATCTCGCTGCCGTCGACCCGCAGCACGCGCTTGCCCGAGGTGGTGCCGTGCTCGAACTCGATGCGGTGCAGCCCGTCCTGCAGCGGCACCTCCCACACCGCCACCTGGTCGCCGCCCGCCATGACGCCCGCCGCGCCGCCCGCCGCGCCGCCCCTGAGCCAATAAATGCAGCAAAGGAGCTAATGAACGAACTAGCGAGTGAATGAAATAGCGAGATTGATAAATGACACATTGAATGAGTTTAATGGAATTGAGTGAGTTGTATGAAAAAGTGAGTGAGTTGAATGAAAAAGTGAGTGAGTTGAATGAAAAAGTGAGTGAGTTGAATGAAAAAGTGAGTGAAAAGAATGAAAAATTGAGTGAGGTGAAAGAAAAAGCCAGCGAGAAGAATGAATGAGAAGTCAAATAAAAGAAGAAGTTAATGTAATATTCATTGAGTATGTAAATGAATAAATGAACAAAAGTTTATTTTTCCTAATGAGAATTAGCTCGAAGGTACTCTTACAAATGTTTAACAAACAAATACATTGGCTAAAGTATATTGTAAACAGACACTATTATTTTCAAGTAGAATTTTGGCAAAAATACTTATTTTTTCAAAGACTGTAAGTGAGCTTATTTAAAGAATATTTTTAGAACCTATTTTATTAAGGAAAGAATTTCCATCATCAATACTGTGAACTTCCGATGTTAATTTTTTTGCAAATTTCATAAGTACGAAGAGTTTTCCGAAAATTGGATACATGCCTTTTATAACCACCTTCTAACCCATTGCGCTAATCGAGAAAAAATAAAGAAAACATTTGGAGCCATATTTTATAAAATAATTTCCGAAAAAGTGAATAAATCACACAAAATACCGTGAAAACTACTCATATTTTTCGTAACGTCTACACGACCTTACTTAAAGATTTACTTTTGAAAAACAGATTTCATTAAGAAAAATTTCTATCGTCAATATTATAGTTGCAGGAAGACCTCGAAACATATTTGAACTTTTACAATTTTAGAAAAGTCAGACAACCGAAACGAAATCAACGAAAAAGCGACCTTGGTCGTTTCTAAGCGTCTTCTGCAATCTCGAGGAAAACATTTGATAGAAAATTTTCCTATTTTTTGAGAAAATGTTGAAATTGTTAAGGCTTTATGTAAAATCAAAATATTCCGTTTCACATTTGCAGAGCATTGGGTTCGGCCAGATCGATCAACAAATATTAATTTTGGAGAAAATTGCCCAGACTATTTAGCGTCGACGACAAACGGACAGACCGAGACGTTTGCCATAAACCAATATCTCGGTATCAAGGTCCTTCAATGTGAATTCTAATTTATATGTGTTATAGGGATTTTTTACTACATATAAGGAACAAGAATTATCCACTTTTTCAGTATTCGGCAAAAGGAGGCTTTCCGTCGAAAAATCACCAGTTTTTTGCCGAAGCATTGCAATACTTTCTCTATACTATGTAACTAGAATGAGAGAAAGTAAAAAGATCTGTCTTAATATTGTGATTGAATAAACTTGCCAAAAAATTAAACTTTTGACATTTTCGAAAATTCAAATAATTTCACGAATTCTGCAGACAGTTTAACCGCTAGGTATTGTTCACAGGCGTGTTTTCTGTAAACCAATTTTTCGGTATCAGAGTCCACAAATGGACCACACGTGAACCATGACTAACACAACGCTTTAGAAGAAGTAATTAACTCGTGTAGAAGCAAGAATTATGCACTTCTTCGAGTTATCAGGCATCTACAATACGAGTGGTGTTTTCCCCCGCAACAACTTTGTCTAAGTAGAACGTGGGGCAGTAAAACTTGTATCCACAAGGTAACAGTGATTTGAAAAATGTAATTCTTTGAATAAACTCAGTGAAGCAAGAGAACGTATGCTCTGACGCACATGAGCGCGCGCGCGTTAGAATGCTTTATCTACACTACGTAAATAGTATGTGAGGCAGTAAAAAAGTTGAAATGTGTCTGTATGGTAACAGTGCTCTGCAAATGTAATTCTTTGAATAAACTCAGTAAAGCAAGTGAACGTAGGCTCGGATACACCTGAGTGGGCGCGCGTTACAATACTTTCTCTACACTACGTCAGTAGTGTGTATCCAAAAGGTAACCATAAAGTAACAATGCTTCGATAAACTCGATCACTTGAATAAAGTGTGCAAAACGTGCGACGCACCTGGGCGGGCGCGCGTCTGCCACGAGGCCCGCGGTGAGCGCCGTCGTCGCCGCCACCGCCCGCGCGGACACGCTGCCGCCGCCCCCGCCGCCGCCGCCCAGCGCCGCCCGCTGCTGGTTGAGGCGCGCCGTCGCCGTCTGCCCCAGGCACAGGCCCGCAGCCACCGCGGCCGCCGCCGCCGTCGCCGCCGCCGCCATCGATTCACTGCGCCCCGCAGGTCGATCGCCCGCAGCCCCCGCCCCCGCCCCCCGCCCACGCCGCCGCCGCCGCGCACACCTGCGCGCGCCACCGCCGCGCCGCGCCGCGCCGCGCCGCTTCCACGCACAGTGGACGAAGGGACACCGAAGGCCCCCACGGAATGCGGTCGATATGAACACAGTGGAACTACAGTTGCTCGGTTTAATTGGTTCCGGGCACGATCAGGATTATCAAATATCCGGTTAATTGGATAAATTATGAAAAAAGATTTTTCCTAAAGAACAGCACTTTTTCTTTATCACATACTACTCACGTAGTATGTAAAGAATTGTAATGCTGCGGCAAAGTAAAGTGATTTTTTGATAGAAAACCTGTATTGTGGGGTCCTGATATCAAAAAGTGTTTACCATGTGCATTAAATTACTTGCTCTAGCACGTTTTGAAGTCAGAATCCATATGTGGTCGATCCATAATACTGAAAAATTAGTTGACAGCAAAACGTTTGTCAGTCTGGCCGACTATCCGTCCGTAAACAACAATAGCTCCCACTAATATTCGCTGAAACTGACATTCCTTCTCCGATCTAGCCGAACTTACGACCCTGCGAGTTTGATTGCGTTTTGGGGAGTAATTTACATTAACAATTAACATTTTCCAATTGTTCTTAAAAATAACTCAAATATTTTTATTAAATTTGCCCTCTGATAGTTCACAGACGGCCTAGAAAATGCCGCGGGTGTGATTTTCGTCGAACTCTGAATGATCGAAACTTGTTCAACTCTGAAAAGTTCAAAACTTTTCCGTTGTCTTTCTGCCACTACAATATTGAAGACAGAGTATTTTTCTTAACGAAATGTTTCCTTCAAAGCAGGCCTTTAAATAAAATCGCGTACAATTCTTGGAAAATATATCCAGTTTTCGCGTATTTTTACATGAAATGTATTCAATTCTAAACCTTTTTGTCTAAGAAAAAGACTCCAAATGTTTTCTTATTTCCTCTCGAATTACACTTACACAGAAAGTAATTATATTTAACCAGAACACGTGCACATTTCAATACTTAGAGTTAAATTGACCATTTTATAAAAAAATAACAAATGGTAACTTTTTCTACGCACGTGAACTGCTGTGATTAGCGCCCCTAGTGAGTTTCACCGGAGGCTGGACTATTGGATGGTAACAGCTTGCGGAGAATTTCCTTCTCCGGGTATCTCCTTCCTCCACACACTACCTATGTGTGGACAAGTTCTGAGTTCCTGGCTGGTCTCCCAACACGAGTGGTATTGTAGTGCATGTACGTGTGTGTGTGTGTGTGTGTGTGTGTGTGTGTAGGTTAGGGCAGGGGAGGCCAAGGAAGAGCAGAGACAGATCGCTTGTAGTCTACCGCCCGTTTATCAGAGTACTACGGCAAAACTCCCGTAGTATTCATCAAAGAAACCATGGAAAACTACCGATCAGATCAGCCGGCCGCTAGAATTCTTCTTCAGACAGCGGCTGAATTCAATTACTATATTCAGCTAGTGTCGAAAATCCGCTATTGCCAGGACTCGACCCCTACGACCTCGGATCCAGAGAGGCTACAAAGACAGCGGCAGTACTGACTCTGAATTATCTCGCCCAGCCCCTCGCGGTCTTTGCAGAGCCCCGAGGACGAGAGTTTAAGTTCGTCACACATTTTGTGCATCGCGCCGGCATCGTTTTGTGAACCACCGACTTTAAAAGTTCGTAGACTGCACAGTACAGCACGTAGACTGCAATTATTCATCTTTAAATTAAATTACTTCCAGACACATAACATCACCTTCCAAAGATGTTTTAATTATTGATTAGTGTGAACATCAAGTTACTTGGCTATGTTAAAAATGTATTTTTCACAACATTAAATTAACTGTAGTATCCTTGACTAAGCTGTCAACAATGATGGTGTTTTATTTAGTGTTTGACGGAAACGCCATTGTTGAATGTCATAACACACTAACATAAGAAACATTGCTTATGAAAACAACACAACGGAAGGCACGCCACACAAATACATTCACAACTTCATTGTAATACAAACACTGAAAACATTCATACTCTCATACTTATTATTAACAGAAATACATAATTAAGAAGCACTATCCAACACTGACAACCAACCCCAATTGTAACACTTTTAGTTCTACAACGAGAACATACAATCATTTACTCATTGTACATTCTTGGCTATCCGGAATGAGCCGCGACTCGGTCAGTTACATGAAACGCGGCTCATCCCGGATAGCCAAGAATGTATTGACTCCAGACGCGGAAGCCTAGGAACGCATTTCCCCATTGTACCCTCTCCACACTTCCCCGTACACACACTTTCATTATCTCAATGCCTTTCGTATACCCGCATGTCTTAACAAGTAGAACCCGAAGCCATGCCTTCCCGATGCACTAGGCCTAACGCATCTCACGACTCTGCGTACCGGAGTTTACATACGCTGCATAGGCTTGGCACACAACGCACGAATTCATGCCCAAACTCTCGCTCCACTTGATACACTCTTTCAATAAACGCGTTATTATGACAATCATCACATTTATCCGTGCCAGTTTCTAAACAAAAAATGAGAAAAGAACCTAACATAATAATACATCTATATTTTACGTCTATTTTTTCCTAAATATATTTACACTTGCACTAGCCAGTCCCAATTCTTACGCAGGTAAATCGTTCCAGTCGTTTATTGTTCGATTTGCAAAAGAGAATTTCCTCGTATCACATTGCTGCGTCCGTGTTCGAATCTGAAATTATGATCCACTCCGCTTAAGAACGTCGGTCTCAAAAGCCTGCTCCGAAATTCCTTCCACGCATAAAAACCTACATACACCTTATATAAAGTGCTAAGCCTAGCCACCATTCTGCGATTTTCAAGCGGCATTAATTCATTGTGAGCGAGTCGATTACTAAATAATTTAACGTCTCCTTTCTGAATTTTGTCTCTCAATCAAAATTCAAATGGAATATATACGAGACAGAATTAAACACTAAATTAAATTCATTATGTTGCGCATTTAGAATTCTTTCAAATTATGTCAGCTTTCATGCAGCTCGTTACATATTTTTGCAAATGTACACCCCCGCCTGAGATATGACATAATATTCTGAGGATTCTCATCCTATAGTATCCAGACCTTTAGATTGCAGAAAAAAGATTCGAATAATAAAAAAAAATGCCATCCACGTGATTCCTTCAAACCTCTCTTCATTGACCTTGTAATCTTACCATTGCCTTGCTTATTGTCAGATGGCATTAAACAATTAAAATCGACACACAAATTTAAGTTAAGATAAAAATAGTTTCTGTTGCGTGTTTCTATACAATCAGAAACTATACTGAACATTAGACCTCGGAATTTTAAACAAAAAAGCGATTATTTAAGCCCTTAAAATATGTACAATTGGGCAAAATTACGTTTTAGTCTGAAAATAGGCACAATTGAGCATAAAAAATACGTTTTAGGCACTTAAAAACACTTTACATTGTTCCTCTTCACACTATGCAATGCAGCTGATACTGCATCACAGGATCAGAACCCCACATACCCAGAGAAGAAAACTAAATGATTCTTTTCCTTTCTAGAGGTCCAAGACTTGGTGTCTATTTTGTGCGCTTCGCCTCTCCGACAGGATGCTTATACCTGAACGGCGCCTTTCCTCGCCTGGATGGCATAGACGATTTGGCTCGACCTGTCACAGCGCTGCTGCACCGGGAATGGGTGCAATTCCCTCAGAAGTGCGTGCACAAAAACATCCTCTTTTTATTGATTTGCGGAACTCCTTATGTTTCTTGTGTTGGGTGTGATTTCGGTGCGTAGTCAATTGCTTAACAGATCAGGGAATTGACGAGTTTCGGGAAATTCGGAACAGTATTTGCGTTTCGGTGAAACAAATTTAAACTAGGGGAGCTACAGAATGGCACAGGCTTTCCCTTATTAGTTTATTTCCTTTGGTCTAGGCTAGCTATACGGACTTGACACATACTCTTGCCAGCTGTCATCTACCGCCGCCTAAGGGTTTTTTTTTTGTTTTTTGTTTTTTTGTTGTTTTTTGTTTTTTACTTAATTTTTCGGTTTCCTAATAGGGGAACGGAAATATTATTGTAAAAATATTACAGAATAGTAAAACTTCGCACTAAATGGCAATTTTCTTTGAAAAATTTGGAGCCACTTTTAAGAAAATCGCATTTAAGCGCTACTGTTAATGTTAAGCTCTTTTTTTACAGATTATTTTTTAGTTTTCGAAAAACTTCATTTAAAGTCATTTGAAGCGCATTAACTCACAACTACGCTAGTGTTTACAAATTGCTGGAAATGTTCATATCAATGCTGTCTTATTTTCGTTGAAATCCCTGATTTTCCAAAAACTGCAAAAGCTCAATTTTTTTCAGCTAATTCTTACAACTACATTATTGAGGTTAGAGTTTTTTTAATGAAATCTGTTCTTTAAACGCAGATCTTGAAATAAGGTGTTATACAATTGTTTGTGAAACAGTCAATTTTTAATTGTTTTAAAATATTTTTTTGCCCAAAACGGCTTTACAATTTTCTCTTTAAATTTTCTCATGGTATGTATCAAAAAACGAAAAAATAAATCTCATTTCCGGCGAACTCCCTGTATTTTCAACAGTACAAAACATCATCATTTCAAAACTTCAGAATTGAAGATATATATTTTGTCTTGAATGTTTTTTTCTTTTTTTTAGAAAAAAAAGTCATATCTTTAAAAATGGTCATGTACATTTTTTAAAGAGTAGTTTTTGCATAATTTCTGCTTGAAGCTAATGCAAAATATTTTTTTAAAAAACATTTTCTCAAAAACTGCTCCATTTTTTTAATTCTTTTTTTTTTTTTTTTTTTTTTTTTTTTTTTTTTTTTCTTCTTTTCAAAAACTTGTCGCTTAAAAGAATGGCACCGGTCTCGTTTTGGAAGAACGTGTCGGGATATTTATTACAGGCATTTATTCAATAGCCAGCCGCCTTTCCTTTCTTGCATCTGTTCCCAACGCGGCCAATGAGTGGCGCCACCTGCCACCTGCTCGTAGTGCTAGGCGACGCTTCTCAGGGCGCGCCAAGCAGAGGGGCCCAGCCACGGGTCGCTGCCCTCAGGCGATCGATCACCCACCCACTCCGCCTACCCCCCTCGCCAGTTTCCTTCTTCTATCTCAGCTACTCACTGCTACATTTCTACCTCCCCTTTTACTTTCTCGTATACGTACGTATATACGGAGAAATAGCGTTACATACTCTCTCAGAGTGTTGTAGAGAAAGTTATGTAATGCTGCGGAAAATTTATTTCGAGATTTCAACGTTTTGGGGTCCCCTGAAACGGAAAAGGTGTTGTTTTGTTTGTTTGTCTTTTTCGTTTTCAAAACGTCTTCCTGTCTGTCTATCCCTCCGTCCGTCTGTCCGTGATCAACACGAGTTCCTACATTATTCGTACGATTTTTTCCAAAATGAATATTGCCCGGGCGACCTCGCTCGACTTCTGTTCTGTGTCTTTGAAAAACATTCGTTGCGTTTAATGAATACTTTGCATAAAGCCTCTGGAACATGTTTGAAATTTTAATAAAAAAATACTCCATTTTTTCTTTAAACTTCTCATAATAATAGAGTGCAATACTGTTTTGAAGATGGCATTTTCCAATTTTTTCTTTGGAGTTTTTGTATGCATCGTTCTTAAGGCACTGAATAACATGACATCAATGCCACTTTAATGTATTTTGTTGTTCAAATATATTAACAAATATATTTTTTATCTCTTACGTTGTTAATATTTATATTACATACATAATTGCATTTGTGAGTAATAGTGCATTAAATGATTTCCAATTAAGTTTCTCGAAAACTCAAATGTGTGGTCAAAGAAAGTATCATATCACAGCAGTAAGAGGGGGTGAGGTTAAACAACAGGTGCGAGAGGAATGCATAATGGAAGAGGTAACAAGGGTTAGATTCACAAGTTAAGGTAATTGAGTCTGAAGGGGGGGTTCGAAGTATTGAAGAGAACGTGTGGGTGGGGAAGAGAATTAGGCAGGACACTGTCGAGGATGTGAAAGTCTTTTGCAAGCTCTTCTAATGCTGATGCTAATATTGCTTTATTTATATTATTGCATTATTTCTTTTGGAAAAACAAAGCAAATAGTCAAACTTTTTAAAAGAATGCATTCGAGTCAGGAACATGACAATAATATTAGACCTTTCTCTCAGATTAAATTCATTCGTGGTCATAGAATTGATATGATCCCATGAATTTTCCAATGTGCAAATTATAAATCCTGAACTCTGTGAAAATGCAAGTTTGATATCTGCGACTTAATACATTAAAATGAATTCTAAATTGAACGCAAACCGGAAATGCAACAAGCTTATCATGTACAATATGTTACTTCCCAAACTGGAGTTATGATACTTGTAATTTAGTTTCAAATGTTGCAACAAAATCACATCAATGGTATCGATTTTTCGACATTTTGCCCTTTGTAATAATTTTACATTTTAAACGGAATAAAGGTCATCCTGACTTTACCTTTTTAACCCAGTAACCAGTTCTTGGCAGGAGATTCCTTCCCCATTCCAATTTATTATATTTTATCATTTGTTCCTGACCTCCCCTCCTTTCCCCTTTCCTTCCTCCTCTTTATCTTACTACATCAGCAGTTTTTGCACTTTGACACCTCAGTTACAGACATGCAGCAATGTGTAGCATTCACATGATGCTGGACAAACCAGGACCTTACATGAGCAGAGAACATCTCAATTATCTACAGTTAAAATGTTTTGTAAAAGGTAGACTTAAAATATTTGTGTTCTATGTATGTCCTGTTATAGTATTGTTTTTACCTCTTAAATGGTTCAAGTTTAATTTTTTATTTATATTTCTTTCTTTCTTCCCTCCAATAAATAGAATAGAATAGTAACATTTTAAGTCCCATTTTATAAGTGAATCATTAGGTAATAAACAATTTCTCAACTTAACAATCCAGATAAATGACAAAATTTGAACAATTGTTGACATGTTCCTACACTGGAAGCAGTTACATAAAACCTTAAAGGGGAAAGAGAGAAAAATCTCTAATAGGGCAGGATCCAGAAAGTGAAGATGGTGCCAATCGTTCAACTCCTCCCTCCCCTATAAATTTCAAGAAAAATTACATTCAGAATGTAAATTTCTTGAAATGACATCCACACAGACTTCATGGTAACACTCATTAGGAATGTTATACGAACAATATCTGACAATTGTTTTCCGTAAATTGATTAAAATTACCCTAAAAATGACTGACCCTTGTGTGGAGAAGGCATGACTCCTGTACTGCCCTTTTAAACTGTATTGTATATGCTGAACACATGTTCACAAACAGAAACTGGGAGCACATTGTATTGCACTTGCAATTTCTTCAATGCATAATCTACAAAATTCTACAATTTTCGTCTTTAATTTGACACACCCTGGGAGCAATTTCCTATCCAGCTTGTCCGTTTTACCAGGCTTTGTTGAGTTTATTGCATCTTCTAACAACTCATACAAAACCACCATTGTTTCTTAGAATATGGATCTTGTGTGGAATGGATTTGGATTACTACAAAACACAAGTATATGATGAAAATTGTTTATTAGACTTTTGACAAAACAATATACTTCTTTTCTTTGTATACAATACTTTTCAACACAAACACAGGCTAAGAACTTATTCTTAGTGAATGATTCACAATAAAACAGGTTCTGTCACAACCTCAATTGTATATTGTTGTAAACCAAGCAGTTTTTTTCTTTCTACATTATTTGTCATTTGGTATCGTTAAATTGGATTTCCAAATCCTTTTCTTTCAAATACCTATAATTAACTTGTATATTGCCACTTCTCCAGCCATTTTCAATTGTAGCATGCTTTGACACAACAAGCCACTACATATTTTAATGCTTACAATACCTACATTACAAAGTTTACAGTAAATGTCAAATATAAATCAATGCAAACACTTCATTCACAAGCATGCTTGTTTGTTTCAATAGATGTGTGTAAGCAAAGCTGTGAAAATTTAAAGATGGACCAATGTTGGAATGAGAATGTCAGACAAGATAGAACGTAAGAATAAGAAAGGATCAACCAGATATATCACCATTGTCTGCCAAGTTGTCATCATAAAGCAACAGCCTTCACTGGCAACTAAATATGGGATCACTTACTGACAAGTTCACAAAATGTGTAAGATGCATTATCAAAGATGAATATGATCAAACTGTTTATTCATTAACTAATTTTTGTCTAATTCCTTTGACAAACACAGCAGTTAATTATACTAATTGCTTCAGGTTTATAAATGTAGTCTTCATTTACCTTCAAGCATTTCATCCATTAAATTACCAGTTACGATTTCTTTTCATGAATTTTGAAAAAAAGGACATGAAATAATAAATTGTTCACATTTTTTTCACTCTTCATTTACAAAATGTAAATGGTTTACAACAACTAATAATTAAAAATAAAATTTGTTAGTAGGAGAGATACTTTAAAAAAAGTGCATGTTAGTGTGGGTGTGTGCGTGCGCACATGTATGTATATGTATGTATGTATGTATGTACATACACTCCATGGCTAGAGTAATTTATCTTATTTTGCCTGAAATTAAAACTGGAAAATATTTATATTTATCAATGAATTAACACAGCATGACTATATTTGTTTATATCAAGAATAAAAACATAATTTCATTAAATACACTTATTATTTTCCAGTAAAGCATTGCTGAATAAAACATATTTTTCAATTACTCATATTCAATAATGATCGATTTTTTTTTCAATAATCACATAAAGTGAAATAGGAAGCAATAATCAACATGGATTTAATAAAACACACGCTGTAAACTGAAAGAATAAAATAACATTTATTCACAAAACACATTTATCTTTTCTGACATGTAAAAGAACAATAACAGTTGTTCCACATTCCTTCTTGTACTTTGGTCCTTTTGTAAAATATGTTCACCTTCAAGAGTCACAATTTCTGAACTGCACATAAACATACAAACTCTGGTCCACTCTATGCTGTATCAAATATATTTACAGATTTATAAAACACAACAAAATAAAATTATTTGTTTATTTTGAACCGCTCTGCTCGTAATCTCTTTTTTTCGTCAAGAGATAAATTTGACTTCTTGGCAGGAGGAGCCGCTTCAACTAAACCAAAACGTTCCTGACGTTTCTTTAGTTTCTCAGCTTGTTCTACCTAAAAAATAAAAAAACGTTTTAATAGATATGTGTTCAAATCTCAACAATGTTTAATGTTCGAAAGGTGTGTGTGTGTGTGTGTGTTTTAAGGAGTGTTTCTACACACAGCTTAGCATCTGTGAAATTAATTTTTTATTAAAACATACTAATGACATGACATATCAGCAGAAAAGACACTTTCACTATCCACTCACATCATCATTAAATACTGTTGCTACCACGTCAACACTTCCTCATATTTATCATGAAGAGTTTCAAGAAAACAATAAAAATGCAAAACCATGATAATAAACAAATCAGGCACTTGAGGGCTACATATTTAAATATATGAACTAATAACATTTTTTCAAAAATTACAAGATCATTTACTTGAGTCCTGAAAATAATTGAAGAGTTCGGGGGACACACAATGCTAACCCACATGCCTAAAATATTTGTCAGCCTGAGGTAATACAAATTTTTAGTACAATGAGACATCAATTTACTATATACACTTCTGGCCACTTTCTACACACATACTGTAGTTCTATGAACACGGTTGTTCAGCATTTCGATAATAATGTTTGTTTTTAGGAGATATTCTAAGACCTTTGAAGAACAAAAGAATACAGCAAAATGACATTTATGTCAACTGTGCCAGCATTTAGCACTCACACGCAAGCAGTTTATAGAAAAAATTGGAACTATTGACAAAATCACATTTTTAATATTTTCTATTATTGCCCATATCATTGAAAATTACTCTAATACTACTACATTTTCAAAATATCTAATGAACAAACTAATTGTAGAGAATACATTTAATTTGAAGAAAAACTACTATCTTGAATAGGTATCGTTGTTGTTGTTGTAAGAAGACATCGACAAAAATTTCAAATTTATGGGAAGGATGGAGGAGAGAGAGAAGAGATGGAGAAGAGAGAGAAAGAGGAGAGAGAGAAGAGAGAGGTTATTAATACGTAGACACACACACAATCTTAACAATCTTATTTTGAATCCTTCTAAATGTAAAACAATTTTTTTATATAGGGCTAGAACCTTGATTGAACCTTCATACTAAAAACATTTAGATTATTGAAAGAGTGTCAACTACAGGATCTTGGTGTTGTTTTGACACCAAAAGTCTTTTAAAGATCTTAATTTGACAGTTAATAAAAGGCCAATTATATATTGAGCTTTATTCAGCACATTCTATAAAATGTACTCATTCTAAATAGTGAAATCACTTTATTTGATGTTATTTAGACAAGTACCGCTGAACTCTTCTAGTTGGTCACTTTGTTTCTCAAACTATCTCTTTTAAGTGTTACTATTTACTGTTAACTTTTGCTGAATCTATTGAGTTTGTTACTTCGAGAAGACCTAAAATTTTTACTCAGAAGTTTTATAAAGATTCATTCACAGCTGTTAACAGAATGCATATAACTGCCAAATTCTGATATAATGTTTATCAAGTAATGCAGTTTTCAGAAACTTTGCAGAGTTAACTTTTTAAGTTGAAGCGATTTCTTATACTATTTAATTAACGTTTGTTACATTTCTCTCTTTTTTTTATTACTGTCATTTTCTTTGTTGTATTTCATGGTTCTGTTCTGTTTATTTTTAATATTATTGCAAAATGTGAGTTGTATTTGAAATCATCTTGTTTGGGTGCCTAACCCTGTATTTTTCGTTGTCGTTCTCCAGTCTATTGTTTTGTTTTGTATAATCGCATATATACACATGTACTTGATGTTAACTCGAATGGACGTTTACTAATTATGACATTAATTGAGATGTAATTTGAGTTACCAGTTCTTTATGTACTCATTTAGAAAATTTTGCCGTTAAACTGAAAATAAATAAATAAAATTTAATAGTAGTTTCATTGAATAGAAATAGAGCAAGTACAGTTGTATAAGTAAACTCAGTTTCATTTCTTTAGCAATAATGGAGAAGGAAATACTGTTTCCCACGTTGCGAAAATCTAATGGTCGTTCTGTATAACAATGCTGCACAGAATCAAACATACTGCTATTTCTCAAAGAAAAACTAATTCACCGTTACAACTCCAAACAAGTTGCTATGAGACCTTTGGAACTCGGCACACAAAATTTCATGAAAGTGCAAAATGGTCTAGCAGGCACTATACCAAAATTTGATTGAAATGGCCTTTCTATCCTCCACAGCAACTTTTGTTCACTTCACATGTTCAAAACTTGCACTAACTCAAAAACCTTCACGAGATATCAAGGAGCATGTGATGACTTTTCTTACAGAACATTATGTTATAATCTTGAATTTAAAACCAAAATCAAAATAATCAGACATGTGGTTACAGAAATAATTGTGTCAAAATTACTTTATTTTCTGCTATCTTTAAAAGCGTCCCAAACTAAGGCTAACCACATTTGGTGGCACTCTGCACTTTAATAATAATAATAATAATAATAATAATAATAATAATAATAATAATATAACCCTTGAAGAGCGTTAGTTGTTTTCAATATTTTGAAGCCCTCCAGCGGTCACTGGATTTGCCCATGTGTTAAAAACTCCACTGACCACAGGTTACAATCCCAACAAAAGCTGATGAGAGATAAGCTCCCGTCTGTTGGCAACGAGTACACAGACAACTGTGAGCAACTTTAGACACGATTGGTTTTAGTAACAGGCAAAAAGCACTAGGACTCCTATATATATGCAGGGCCGGATTTAAGTAGAGGGCAAGCACAAAATTGTGTTGCATCCCCCAAAAAAGCTCCGTTTTTATTAATAAAAAATATATTATAGTACAATTACAATGAGGTTTGCATAAAAAAAAAATATTCAGTTATAAGGAAAGGAAATAAAGTATAGTTAATATTAGACTAATTTAACATGTAATAAATTTTTTTTTTTAATGTTTTGAAATTGTACATTGTGTTACACAGTAGACTACTTGATTAACAATTATTTCACAGACAAAAAAATATGGTATGCGTATTTTTCCGAAACGCAGGGCCCCTGGGGAATGGGGGCCCCCAAGCAACTGCTAGTTTTGCTTGTAGGTAAATCCGGCCCTGTATATATGCAAGTCCTAATTCTTACATTTGAGCAATGTTGGCCTACACTATGCCAATCACTTTAATTATTGACAACTTTTGACAATTTTTAACTATGCATTGAAATCCGGCCCCTTTTCAACCGAATTAGAAAGAAAGAATAATATGAGGGTGGATCAAATATAAATGAGACTTTTGGAATCAACATGATATTTTGCTGTCTTCAGTTACATGACAGTCTCCAGTTGGTAGAAGTGTTTATTCTCAATCAGCATTGCACTTTTGTTGCTGGAGTTCTTATTGTTGAATTATTAAAATAAATGAACAAAAGGTACATATTTCAGTTGTGTAATGCATTATTATTCGCTTCTTGGTGAATAAAATTGTGAAACCATCACAAATTGTGAAGTGATTTCATGGTCAATTTGGGGGGAAGACCTTTTTGAAGCGTCAAGTCTACAAATAGTACAAGTTGTTCAATGGCAGCTGTAAAAGTGTTTCCAACCTTACTCATGCTCAGCGTCCATGGACATGCATTTCGTTGCACAACATTCGGAGAGTGCAAGACAGTAGTCGTGATAACTTTTCATCAGATAATCAGACAACATCTTTTCAGACCGCATAAGGGGGACTTGGTTGGCAAGAAATCTTCCACTAATGAAAAGGTGGAAGACTTCATGGGCAAATTTCTACACATACGCAACAAAACTTTTTTTGAGAATGGAATTATAAAACTACCAATAAGGAAGCAAAAACATGTACATGGGCATGGAGGAAGCTAAGTAGATAAGTAGTCTGGACTGATTTTGATTTTCTAACATTCAATAAAATGTTGTTCAAAAAGTCTCGTTCATATTTGATCCACTTAATATTTCCAATTGTGAGGAGTAAGATATTTTTTATATTGAAGATATGACTTCATATCTAACAATTTCATGAAGGTTTTAGAGGAACAATTACCTTATTATCTACTGGTATATTTAACTCCATTGAACTACTTCATAATATGTTTTATTTGTGACAGATCAACTGTAACAAACCTAATTATACTTATTCATTGCATATCCATGCAACTTAAATTTTACATAATAAGGTGATGTAAGTGTTATAGCTTTCTCTAAGAAACAAATAGTAAGTAAATACAGTTGACTCCTGTTATAGTGAACGTAAAAGTCACTGGTCCAATTTCACTTACATAACAAATAAGCATAAGAAGATTCAGTTATAGGAAATACAAAGAACTGGAAATTAATTCCCTCCTGGAAAAGAATATATATGGAAAAAGAAGAAGAAAGAGAAGAAAAGAAGAAGAAGAAGTAGAGAAGAAGAAAAAGAACAAGAACGAGAAAAAGAAAAAGAACAAGAAGAAGAACGAGGAGAAGAAGAAGAAGAATACAAGAAGAAGAAGAAGGACAAGAACAAGAAGAAAAAAAAGAAGAAAAACACACACACACACCCCATGACTGAAAAGGTTCTCCAGCCATCACTTTATGAGCCTCTACTTTAACTGCCACTGCAAAGAGAAAATCCACGATTACTTTTCATCTTAATTTTTGTTTGCACACTGCAGTGAATGACAGATTTGATGGCCAGTATATAAAGGACTAATACATGTGTACATGAACATACTGTAAAGGTGCTTTTACACAAAGAGGCAACTTCTACTAACTTTCATGAAGTAGAGCACAGTAACTTATATTCAGATTTTTGTGGATTCAATTATTTTATTATAAAGTACCTATAATCCTGTTCTTAGTCTTTGCTTTGTTTAATTTAGTGAGAGTAAAAAATAAACAAATAAATAAAAGACAGCAAAAAGAAAAACAAACAAACAATTTTCAATACGCACAGCAACCCAACACTTTAAATTCAATTTCATTCACATTCATCTCTCTTTTCCCGTCTTTGATATTCTGTCTCAAAGACCTCAAAACACATTTTCTGGAAGAAGCTATGCTAATGGTTGGTAGATTGTACCTTGGATGGTGGCTTGTTCTGCAATTTTTGGGGTTAAATTTATAAATCAGAACATTGCAGTAACCTTTAGAAGTTGACAGGCAATGTATTTTCTGGATGATTTTCTTATTACTTTCTCAAAGTACGAAAGTAATCTAATAGGTACGTACTTAATGGGTCATTTATCAGGCACTGAACGAGTATACATTACTTGAAGTAAAGGAAATGAAGTCCAAAAGTTTGCCGAATGGATGCTCTATCAATAACAATGGCAAACATTTCTTAAATAAAATACAAAATCGATACAAATTAAGCCAGGAGTATCACTGGGCTTGGATCAAGAAGTGAAATACGGTTAAAAGAACATATAGAAATGTTCTAGAATGGGTAGAAGCTATGTTGATGCACAAGGTGAATCTACAGTACATTTTCTCGTTAGTGTTCCAAGGGGGAGAAAAAAAATCCATTTTATTCTGTCATAAAAGAAAAAGAAAATAATCCAAAACAATACCTTTGACAAAGTACTGGATACTGAAGAGCCAAATCTCTCAGCACGTTGCTTAAGCAGGTCTAGATTTGGGGTCTACAAGAAAAAAAAATAAGTAGTGTAAGTACTTGTGTAAGAAACATAACTATCAAAAACCATACTGGAGTTTTTGCTTTACGTTATTTTTTACAAGTTTCTTACATAATGAACACTAACAGTTACCATGAAGAGAAAAATCATCCCAGAATTAATAGTGATTTCATATTTTAACTGGCAATATATTAAGTACAACTTTATCTACAGAAGTGTTGTCAATTACTGAATTCAAATAATTTTCTTTGTAACAGCAAAAAAAATCTGGAAGACAGGAGAGGAACACATGTAAACAAATGTAAGTTGATGAACTATAAAATAGTGCTCAATAAAAATTAGTTGCTGAGCATTAACAGACAGAAGAAAAAGAATAGGGCCTCTCCAAAAAATAGACTCTGAAGATGGTAAGAATAGTGAAAAAGAATATATGAATGAAAAGCAGTCAGATAACAATTAAAATGTTGCACTGTCTCCCTTTTTTGTAAAAGTAAATTGAAATTTCATTTCACTCAATACAAATACTAGCGATTATTTCATAATCATTTTAATGACATTTATCCTCCGAATGAAATACAGTGACTCCTCACATTTGACTAAAAGGGTTATGGGAATTCAATCAGGAGCTTCAATACCGAAAATTAAGTCATAATGAAGCTCCCAAATGGACATCCATGTCTACTGATCAAAAGTAAGAGGGCGCTCTATTTAAAACAAAGAACAATGATATTTTTAAATCGTTTTTATACATATTTAGCAAAAATAACCCCGTTGCCTTGGTATTACCCATTAACGTCTGCTGTATTTACGTGACTAGTCACATTTTTCCAGATTTGTTGAATTTACTACGTAGTAATATTTATTTTTCAATATTTGACATATGATAATAATTATTATTAATGGAGTATACTTTAGAAAATGTGCAGAAAGCTTTACAAATATAAGGTATTTATTGTCTTTAAACTTTAGGCATACTCAATTGAGTACAACAATTGAGAAAAACAAGTTCATTGTAAAGATGACTGATGATGTTTCAGATATGGCCAAAAATAAACATTTTGATGACCCTGTACAGTTTTATGGATATTTCAATTTTCTTCCTGGAGCATTAGAACTTGAAGGCGACAATGATCTTGTGATTATACCAGAGATCCATTCTCTGACTGATGAAGAGATTGGGTATAAAATAATACTGCAAGCGTAGATATACCAAATGATGTGCCAGGTTCAGTAGTGATAATAAGAAAAAATGTTAATAGTAATGAAGACAGTAATGAAGAAAGAATCTAGTTGTTGACAGACAAAGACTCTTATTTTTTACAATATTCTTTCTTTCTGGTATCTTCTTTACAAGACTGTTATTCATCTACTGATGATAAGGGGGAAAAATTTATGAATAATTTGGAAAGTTTAATGTTTTAATTTAAACATGTGTGTGATAAAAAAAATATAAATATGTAAACATTTCATTTACCCAACTTTACAAATTTGCGGATTCAGTGGTATAACTGTTAGTGTATAAGGCTGTTGTAGCCAAGTTTGCCGATTGAAATGTGATTGAAGCCTTGGACGCCTTCCTTTAGAGGGGAAGTAGAGTCAGCTGACCTGTGTAGTAGTTTTAATTCATGAAAAAGATTCTCAAGCCTAAAAAACGTTGAGGTATATTCAAAATCGCCTGATTCATCACCAGTTATATCTCCTTCCTCCCCTAGATGGGGACAGGAGCATAATGAAATTTGCTTGCTTGATCAGACTGAAGAGCAGGCCTGATTGCTCGAGTCTCACCACATAAAATAAGGCATTAACTAATTCAATCTCCTCTCTCGCACTCTCTGGGAAGAGAGCCTCGGCTCCCAGCTAACACAGACTTGCACCGCGATGCACTATGTCCTGACCAGGCAAATTCACCTCATCACCAGATGTGGCAAAGTAGAGGGAGTTGTTAGGGTGATTATTGTAGTTCGGTTCTCTTTATGAAATTATTAATGAAGCTAAAGATGTAGTGTCACAGAGAATGTCCCACTAACTATGGGCCACTCGCATTATGTCTATACCGACATTTCACGATACCGAAATGCAATTTTTGCTCAACAATGTGGAATCACAAGGCTAGTAATATGTCGTAGAGATACATAGTAATATGTCGTCTTACAGATGTAAAAATTACTGAAATCTGAATCAAAGCAGACATGCCCATGAATGAAATTTCAGTGTCTGAACTGTTTCTTTTAAAATTTTTGATACAGTAGTGACTCAGATGGAATATAGGTTTCAAGATTTTGAAAACCTTCATTTTATTGAATTTCTTGGCGAAAATCAGTATTCCACCTGTAAAGAATCCTTTCAATTAGAAGTTTTCTTTTCCAATAAAACAATATCCATTCTTCATATACACAGAAATTATATTTAAATTTTCTGTATATCTACGCCCTCCAAATTGTCCATTTTGCACTTAGTTACAGCCATACCATGATACCGTGATACAGCCATACAGTGATACCATCTTGTAATGGAACATATGCAACACTTTCTAAGAGAAAGACAAAAATGAATGGGACAAAACATTTGATCAGTTAGCATTTGTATGTAATTCAATTAATTCATCAATTTTAAATTCACAACAGTCTCATTGTTGGATGGAGATCTTATTTAGAAATATGAAGAAAAGCAGCTTTTATCTCTGAGATGCTCTCCAACTGGATCACGGAATGAATGCTGTCATCTGAGAGACATCCTCCGACATGTAGGGAGAGCCACCTTCTTGAAAGCCTTCTTCCAAGGTGAGAGCCATTGATGCTATGTCATCTTATGTGTGCCCTCCAACATGTAGGACACATCTGACCACAAAGGGTTAACACATATTCAGGAAGTAAATGTGTTATCTACAAATCACTACACTCAAAAACCCTGTTGAACTAAAAAAGGAAACTACATCAATAAGCCCTCATGAAATGTTTCACCAGTGAAAAATGATATTCTTAACAAAACTTCACAATTGCAATAAATAAATTACCAAAATCATACTGAACCAAACTTTTGAACAATAAAAAAACCTACAATTCTCTTAATATCTACACATTTTATAGTGCCACAGAGGCTCCACGAAATCTTAGGATTGCTGATACAATGTCCCTCTGGCTCAACTTGGTGTAAAATTAATGTATTACTGACCCTTTACAAGTTCTTAGTAACTGAACACACCTTTTCTCATAAAAGAACAGGACTAGCAGCTGAAGCTACTAGTTACTTTCAGAATTGTTCTGAAATGTCATTTTGTGTGTTTGTTAGTTAGTGTTTGTTTTTCTTTTCTCACACCTACTCCTACAATTGAAAACAATAATATCAAATCAATGTATCTTTCTTGGAATATTTTAAATGTCTTTAATTTCAAAACAAAACTGATGAGCTGATGAACTAATGAAGAATTCTAAGCATTAACTAATAATTCTAATTAGTTAAACTTATTAATCTAAACTTCACATGACTTTGAGTAATCATTATCAAACAATGACTTGTTACACTTCTCTTCAAAATTCACTATATGGCTCCACACCACTGGCCAATGGTGGCATGTGAGAACAGTGTATTTCTGTGAATGATAAGTCATGTAGGGAGGGTTGTTTTTGAATCTTGTACGCTTATTAACACATTCAGGTCACAGCTAGGAACATTTTTAAACTTCAAATTACCCTCAAGTAAACTCTGCTCAGCATCTCTGAATGCAAGTTTTTCTTTGTTTTGTTTCTTCTTTATTCAGGAGTTTTCTGACATACTGTCTGCATAGGAAGTGAGACCAATATACATGGGGAATTCAAAAAGTTTTCAGAATGATGGTTCAGCATGTTAAAGTTGTAACCTAAGGCGATGGTAATCTAATCACCTTCGAAATAGGACTCTCGCACACCCATACACTTGATCCATCGTTCCTGCCGTTGTTGTAAGCAGACGGAGATGACTTCTTTCGGCACCTGTCAGAACTGAGCTATCACATCCGATTTCACATTCTCCACAGGTGCAAAACATCCACTGAGGCCCATTTCGAGGGTAACGAACTGCCAATAGTCACTGGGAGAGAGATCAGGAGAATATGGTAGTTGAGAAATGACAGGAATGTTCTAGGCCTGGAATATCTGTACAAGTGATGTGTTTAGACACCTTATTCCTTGCCACTTGGCCTGTCATGTCCGTCGAACTATACCATGCAAGCTGTGCCAAACTTGTACACTGAAAATTTCAGTAACAGACTGTCCAGCAGTACAAACTCATTGTGCACCAAAACTATTGATATAAAAGAAGGCATTGATCATCACTTAGACTCTGGATCTGATTTTTGGTCTAGGTGACACTGGTGTGTGCCACTCGAATGACTGCAATTGCGTCTCCGGTTCTTCCAAGACACACCCCTCATAAACTGCAGTTGTTTTTTTTTAGTGCTTTATCTCCATAATCTTGCTGCAGGGTCTATAGCATATCTGAATCTAATTTTCCCAGTTGGCTCATGAACTTGATGTCCTCATGCTGTCCGAACTGTAACATTACACTCATGGACAAGCAATCACCTTCAAGTGATATGGTGCAGTGTCACCACTGCACATTGAAACTTGTCCAGAACAATCTTGCTTGCAAGCAATCATGCCCAGCCCCCTACCACAAGAACTCTTATTGCCAGTTTGACATTGGCAAGGCAATTCCAGCAACTTTTTGAATGCCCTTTGTATATATAGTTTGCATATAATCTGGTAGGTACAATGTTGTATTTGAAATTTACTTGTTAGGAAAGAAATACTGAAGACCAGGTTCCAGGGTTTAGAGTATTGTTGTATGTGTTTCAGTGTCTACAAACTTTTTTCAGAGCATACATAGAGCATATCATGTAAAAATAAAAACCTACTACATAAAAAAATGAAAGTAAATCCTGATAATATTGAAATTAAAAGTAAATATATTAGATATAAAAATGTGCTAAACACTTTAATTAAAAAAGCCAAAGAGTCATATTACAATGAAATAGTAAGTTATCGAATAGCGTCAATAATCTATGGAAATACATTAATAAAAAACTGGGAAAAAATAAGATTGAGAAACAAGTGATAAATAAAATCTATACCGAAGGTGAACATGGAGTTCTCAAGACCGAGCTCGAAATCGCTAATCATATCAACAAATTCTTCGCTGAAATTGGTTCCAAAATGACAACAGGATTTGGAGAAATTAGCAATGATGTGGCAAACGAGCCTACGATTCGAGACTCGATTTTCCTTACACCGACCAATGAAGAAGAAATTCTGACAATAATAACAAGTATGAACAGTAACAAAAAGGCAGGTAACAATAAAATATAAATTCAAATTATAAAAAGAATTTCCCCTTATGTAATTAAACTGCTCGTACATATTATTAATAGGAGTATTATGAACAGAATTTTGCTGATCATTTAAAATAACGGAAATTGTACCCATTTTTAAATCTGGAAATCCAGAAAAAGCTACGAATTATAGACCCATATCACTGGTATCCAATTTTGCAAAAATTTGGGGAAAGTTCTTAAAATAAGAATAATAAATTTTGTAAATAAGCATAATATTATAAATAAATACCAATTTGAATTCCAGGAAAATAAGAGTACTGAAGATGCGTTAAAATATGTCACTGACCAAATCAGCCATGCTATCGATAAAAACGCTCTGTGTTTATCGGTGTTTTTGGACTTAGCAAAGGCTTTTGATAAGGTCAATCACAAAATTCTGTTGAAAAAGTTGTATAACTAAAGATTTAGAGGAATTGCCAACAAATTAATTGAAAGTTATCTTACTGGGAGAAAGCAGGTGGTAAAAATCAATAATATTATCAGTGATGAGTTAAATGTAACTTGTGGAGTTCCTCAAGGAACCATTCTCGGTCCTATATTTTTCATATTGTATATTAATGTTTTTTTTGATATTCTACCAAAGGGTGAAATTGTGTCTTTCGCTGATGACACTTTGCTAATTGTTACAGCTAAAACTTGGTCTGAAGTAAAGGATTTAGCACAAGCTAAATTGAGTCTAATTGCGAAATGGTTGAGTGTAAATTTCCTAACCTTAAATATACAAAAAACTGTTTTCATAACCTATGGTAGTTATGTTGACAGCATACCTCCAAATATTGAGCTACAGTTACATACTAGTTCGTGTGATATTAATAGTCATATGTGTGATTGTCCATTTCTGACACGAGTGAGTTCAGCCAAATATTTTGGAATATGTGTTGACTCAAATTTGAAGTGGAAACAACATATCACACAAGTCACAAATAAAGTCCATTATTTAATTTATGTGTTTTATAAATTGCGGAGTATTTTTAGCGAAAAACAATTGTTAATAATGTATTATGAGTTATTTTGAAATATTGCGACTTATGGAATTATAACATGGGGTGGTGCGTACTATAACACAATTAAAATGCTACAAGATGTTCAAAAGAGAATACTTAAAATCGTTTAGAGAAAAACCAAACTATATTCCTCTGAATTACTTTTTAAAACGTATAGACTTGTCTCTATAAGGAAATTTTTCTTAGAAAAATTTCTTTTGAATAATTTGGACTATCTTAAACAGAAATATATATCACTATGTAAAAATAATAAGAGAAATAAGTTATTAGTACCACCGAAAATTGGGAAAGAAATCAGCCGACGTAATCATAATTATATTAGTTATAGGATTTTTAATTTACTGAGTAGTGAATTTAAAAATACCAGCTACGATAAACTGCGAATTTTCTTTTACTTTTGTAATATATGCTTTGTTCTTCTTTTCTTTGTTTATTAATTATTTTTCCCGATTTTTTTTGTATTCTTTTCTTTTATAAATGAGTTGTTGAAAAAAAATTGTTGCTCTGGTAAAAAAAAAAAGATTGATAACAGGCCTGCACACTGGATTAATTCCTCAGCGAAATAATAATGTACATACTTGTATTATATTATTTGTATTTCACAGTCTGTTAATAAATAAATAAAATACTACATGAAATACTACTACTACAAAGCTTAAAATCAGATATTATTGTAATCATAAGCAAGCTAAAAAGCATTTTCGAGTTTTTCTTTGTTTGTAACTGTTAAATCTGCCTATTATTTTTTTTACAAAGCAAACACAACAGATTTTCACTTCTCCTGTACTTCGTAAAAAAGCCACCAACAAGATTTGTTTTATTTAGGGACATATCTCCCAACTCTTTGAAATGTCAAGTGGGAAAACAAAAACAAGAAATGACCAGTAATTAACATTTCAAAATCTATGGGACAAGAAAATACCAAAGGGGTACAGCCTGAATGTGTTAATTTATTTAAAAATGTTTTAAATATTCATATCACAAATTTGTTGTTCTTTCTTATGGTTGCCACATAGCTGCACTTCAATTTCGCAATGTTAAAACATTGTTATTGTCTTCTAGGGGCCGGTTTCACCAACAGCCGAGTAAAGTTGAGAGTAGTTACCTGAGGGTTCCTCCAAGATAGTAACTCTCGAGTAGAATATGAGCGTTTCACCATGCTTCTACAGGGTTATTTTACTCTAAAGTACATACTCTCCGATTTACTCTGCAAATCAGCGGAACACACAATATCTGAGAGCGATTCAAGAGGACTTGACGAGAATGACGCTGGGAACCAATGCGGACCTTTTGAATAACTTTTGATTAATTCCTTATATTCTATCATTCATTTCAGTTTTGGAGTTCTTGGCGTTATAATCTGGTGTGGTGTTATGGTGGTTTGAGTTAGCATAGTTTATTTCCTAGTTTCTGTATCTTCATTTCTTAATAAATATTCATTCTTCTTCTCTGGAGACGAGTTACTATTTTGTTAGCAATGTAGAAAAATCTAATTTGCAGTTCGTTTACTGATGGCGGGGCAAATGAATTTTCTATAACTAGGAAACGAAAATGTTTAGTCTTTCAAATGTTGCTGATCTCGTGTTTTTTTAAATTTTATTATTATATGCTGTTTTATTTTTTTTAAACGTTTATTAATACTTCAACTATTTGTAGTTAAAACGTTGGAAAGGTATTTTGGAACTCAAGAAAACGTGCGCAAATGATCTTCCCCATATGTCACATACAGTTTTTACTGAATAAATAAATGATATTTCTCAGTACTTGCAGTTCCTGTAGTTATTATTTTTCCTTTTGTTGTCGTATTCGGTACGTACTACCTTTATTTCATATCTACATGGGAGAAAAAGAACTTTAGAAGTTCTCTACAGTTTACAATGTATCTGATGAAGTTAAACAGCTGATTTGGTCAAACACAACCTCATGACAAAATCTCGATCGTCATAATTAAAACCAACCCATTCTCTCTCGCACCCTTTGTCTTCGCACTAGTGGATAATATTCCGAATCATTGCTGGAATCGTCTTCAAATACTATCATTCGTAATCGTCGAACCGTAACACTTCGGAGGTACATGAACGTTGAAAACTGAATTTACTCCGTACTTTACCCGAATGATTTTCGCGGCATAAAGTTACTCTCGTGTAAGCGATTTACACTCGAGTAAAGTGTTGGTGAAACGCTCCAAGAAGTTTCTCTCGAGTAAACATAATTTACTCCAGAGTAAACTCTTATTCTTTGTTTGGTGAAACCAGCTCTAGTAGAAATAGAAAATTTGCTTCAATAATTTGCTGCTTCTTCAGTTCTAAAGCACTATAATAAAATGATCACTTTTAAACTGATCCTACAGCTTAGCAGAATTTCTTAAAAGTAAGTTAGTTTATAGAGGATTATACTTTGGAAGCCCATGAGAAGCCAAAAGAATATATCTTAGCTCACTTATCAAGTCCTATCTATTCTCTAGGAACTACAAACAATCAAATCACAGAGCACATCAGAAACAGAAAACAGCATTAAGTTCATTTTCTTAATCCTAAAATGTTTCAACTCAAAGTACATGAACAATCATTATCATTAGTTTAACAGCTACAATTTTTTTTATTCAGAAAAATGTTATCAATGACAATGGCTAAATTTTAACACTACGTATCTCAAATACTGAAGACTTTTCAGAAGAGAGAAATTGTTGCAAAGTTTCCATTAACAGTCAATAAAAATGTTATCAATTTGCATCACTTTAACAAACTTCCAGTTAATTTCTGTTAACTCACTACAAGATAATTTTATCTTTCAAGAGACAATATTACCTCAAAACAGCCAATTATTTTGAGATGCATGTTAAAATTTAGCAATCAAGAACTGTAAGAATAGTTTCACATATACTTCTTCATCACAAATTCATGTGATGAGAAATTCAAGTAAATCAATAACTCTTCAAAACCAATCACAGTTTCTTAAAACCTAAATTCTCTCATCTAATATTTCTTAAGATTTAGATTCCAACATTTATTCAAGCTCAAATGAAAAATTAACGAGCAAATTTGTTTACTTACTGAAGTTACCGGAGATGTAGTAGTAGTAGAAGTAGTAGTAGGAGCAGTAATGCCAAATCTTGCTGCTCTAGCTTCCTTCTTAGCGTCCACTGATAAGGGGACACCAAATTTCTGAGCTCGCATCTCTAAACGCTGAAATAAATATTACAGAATATATTCTTACTGCACATTATGGAAAAAAATCACTGTTTTCTGCGTATACTTGTTTCATCACACAATGTTTCTTTCTCTAAAAACAAATATAATTGAATTTCAGGACCTATCAGCACACTCAAATTCATAAAATTTCATATATTATTAAACTTAAACACATTTATTTAATTGTAGACAGCATCACCTTACAAATATCAAAGGAACAACAATAATGCCTGAGCTTTATCAAATATTACGTATAAACATTGAGTTTTAATTTAATTTTCTGTTCAAGTTTTTAATCCACTGAACTTCAAAAATATTATTCTCGTCTTGTAAAGAATTATTTCCATATTTAAAAACCTTCAGTGATAAAATATTTTATCTTCAATATTCTACTCAAGACATCACCAAACTAACAATAGGTTTACTGGGAATTTCAAGGAAGTACTGAAGCTCATAAATTACTGATAATCCCATAAGAAGCTCCATTTTAAAAATCTAAAATGTTTACCTCTTTTGCAGTGAGTGCAGATATTTTTATTATTTTTTTCTCCGAGTTTTCTTGTTTATTTGATTCTTCTGGCTCTTTCTGATTTTCCTTCCCAGAAACAATGATATTTCTATTCAGAACAATCTTTTTTGGGGGTTGATGAGATTTTTCATCGTTTTCTTCTTCTTCTTCTTTAACCTTTTCTTCTGGATCACCCAAGTTTGGAATAATGTCATCAGTTTTCCCCGATATATCTCCTATGTCATCATCCAGAACTTCTTCTCCCTGAAAGAATTGGAAAGTGTGAAACAATAAGATAACATAAATCACATACATTTTTCCAACTTAATTATTTAAACATGGTCTTCCTATTGTTACATATACATATATACATACACACATATACATGTCTATACATACACATACATGCATGTGTGTGCGCACATGTAGATGGGTATATATGTTTTATATTTTTTTTTTCTCTTATTTTCAATAGTTAATATAATGACAAAGCATGTCATGGTATATTATATTCCTTTTTCTTCTATTAACCTTGATAAAAAAGTAATAATAATGAGAAGAACAACAACAAATTTGGTCAATACATCTAGTTTTGATACATTTGCATAAAATTTCCTCAGAATGTTATTGCCTGGTTATATTGCTAATTTAACATGAACTTGACCGGAAACATATGGTGGCGGGGCATGGAGTGGCTGTAGCGTGCGGTTCATTCAATTATTTTGTGTGTAGTGTTAATTAATGAATCAATTTATTGAAAGGTTTGTTGTCCTCATCCACTGTTCATTTTTTTTTTTATACTCTAGCCGTGAAGAAATTAAATATTTCAAAATGTTGACACAAGTAATTATTTCTTTATAAAGACTGACCAATCACGTGAACCAATTTTTGTTTATTATTTGCCAATGGCCGTGAATCTATAATGGTTAAAAACAAAACAGCAGCAAACCAATTCAAAATAAAAAAATAATATTAACAAGATTTTCTATTTTTGATCAAGAAACAATTCTAAAAAATTACTCTCGAAGAGAAAAAAGTTTGTTTCAAGGGGTTACCATTAAGTTACCCCAAAATAATTTATTACAGAAAAATATCTTTGTGAACTATGTATTTAGAGAATCGAAAGAATGAGGAAATGCTTTATACCAAAGATACTTAAGAAACTAACCGCTAAAACTTCATCTTCATCCAAAATTTCTTCAGAATCTGCAGTTCCTAGTTCAGATTCCATCATTAGGGCACCCTCTGCAAAATATAATAGATTAAAGCTATGTTAACAAGTTCCAAATTTATCAATACTGCTGGAAAACTACCTCAACTAACATAATTAGGAAAGAATATGGAGTACATTTGAACATTCCTTTCACAGCAGAATGTTTAATATAAGATTCAAATAATTCCCACCCTACATATCTCCAAATGCAAGGCGTTAATTTTTACTATTTCCTGCTGAATAACAAAATCCATGACACAGGGGTATTTCCATTTTTTATTAAATGAATAGGCCTCATGAGATTTTAATTAATCTCTAATTCTACCCTTTCTGCTACACCTCTGTTCAAACTTGATCGCTTGCATGAGTTTTGAGCATTGTTTTTACTGGAGTATTATTAACCGGGGTTCCCAGACAGCCATCCCTCCGGGAATTTGTGGTGTCTCGAATTGCTTTACTACTATGACTTTACGATATAGTTAAGCAATTCGGTAAGAATGCCAGCAAGTGTTTTGTGTCATATGAGATATTTCAAAAAGACTATTGGGCAAAGCGCTTTTATTAAGTCATTAAGAAAACAAATTTTGGAGTCAATTGTAACAGGCCAAAACAATGGTCATGTACCCTGATCCTCTTTCAAAAAACAGAGTCAATGGAGTGAAGAATACCTGCAAGTCACCCACGAAGATTAAGACAGTGCAAACCCAGAGAAAGAGCATAGCCACCATTTCTCAGGATTTGAAAGATGTTCTGCCAACAAATGTATTTGTTATATGAAATTTGAGGTGTCTTGCTATTGAAGTTTCTTCCATCTAGATATTAATAGAAAAAAACCTTGCATTTCGCATGTAGTATAATATATACAGGATATTTTCTCCCCAGATTTCAAGTAGGAATAAGCTGGACATTAGCTACACCCCCTACATTTATCACTAAAGCACTTAAGTGCATTTTTGCAAATAATGAAAAAGAGTTAGTTTTTATAGAAAACGCCTAATATGGTAACTATTCCTACTCATGTTACTATTATTGAAATACTTTAAATATGCAGATGAAATGCAAAACGATCATTCTTTATTTAATTTTAAAACATATTTGGACACATAACATTTGCTCCTCCTTGGGAAATTTCTAATCAACTAAGAACCCAACAATTCACAAAGCAATCAATAACATATACCTCCTTGCATGGATAGGTGCAATCGTTCCATTAAATCATTTTTATTTCCAGTTGTACTCAGTCCCCTGGCCTTCAATTCTTTCTTCAATTCTGCAACCTGTTTAAGAAAATAACTGATTAATTCAACACAGTACAATAAGTAGAAACAGACGATATCAAACACTGTCCATATATGGTACAATGTTATAAACATTCGACGAAAATTATATAAGAATATGAATTACCGATAGAGTAAGCATACTAGTTGTTAGGAGCGAGATCCGATTACATTACAAAACAAACATACACAACATTTACAATGTTCTAATAAGCAACTTCATAACTGCCAGTTCCCAGTATCGATTAAAAGAAAGAAGGAGAATTACCTTCAGTTTCGAAACATCCAGAGAATTATTTTCATCAACACCGTCCGCCATATTGAAGCTGTAAACACCGCAAAAGTTTGAAAATGGGGAAACGAGTGTCCACGCAAATATTTATAAACGTTCTTTGGTAAGAGATTTTTAGAACTGCATATTCCGTGAATCCTTGGCACAACGTATTCCGCGCGGAGCGTCAAATTAACTAGTGGAGCTACAACAGCACGTACTTTCTCGCGATATTGTTAATGGCTATGTAATATTAAAATAAGACAATTTTATAATACGACACTTCAACTACTATTTGAAACATTCTTAAGCAACCTAAGCGTGAAAAATACATATTTTTTTAGTTTCTAGCACGTAGTAACGCAAGAATAGAAAGAATTGAAATCGTTCGTCGGAAAACTGCGGATTTTCGTCACAAAAACTCTTATTCTTGCCGGGCCCTGGTAATGAAAAAGTGAATAAATCAAGTTGCTAAATAAAAATAAAAATCATGTTGAATCCCTGTTTTGTGAGTCCTGCATACCGAAAAATCGATGTCGGCGAATCGAAAAAACGGCAAAACGTGGTCCATCCGTCTGTCTGTGCACAACACTATCGCAAAAACAGTTCAGCCGATTTTCTCCTAAACAAATATTCCCAAATCGTTTTGGCTGATGTCACGACTCCTGGAATTTAAAACCAATATTTTAAGTTTGGAAGATACTTTGCATAAAGACCTCGGACATTTTCAAAATTTCCAAAACAATTCCTCCAACTTTTTGGATTAAACTTTGTTGTGCATATAGCGAAAACCGTTGGATAAAATCGTATATGTCTATTTTTTTGTTGAAAATTCTGATTTTCCGAAAATTGCAAAATCGTTTTTTAACTAAAAAATTGAAGATAGAGATTTTTGCCTTAGATAGTCTGTTGTACACAAGTATCTCTTTAAAAAAGTCATGTACATTTTTATAGTAGTTTTTGTATAATTAACGCATTTTTTCATGAAAACTGATCCAATTTTTTACTTTAAATTTTATCCACGTTTATCCACACGAAATAAGAGGCAGTAAAAAATTTGGTGCTAGTTCCATTTTCGGGTATTGCTCGATTTTTTTAAAATTTTCAAAAAATAAAAATAAACTAGTGAAGTTTTTGAAGAAACGATTTGGCGTAATTTGCGCTTGAAAATTTACAACTGAAGATGGACAACTGAAAACGACTGCACCGATTAGAGGACTTCACCTGGCACTATATCCAGCTACTCGGCATCCGAGTGCCCATCTACCCAGAAGTCGTCCTGGGTCTTCCACATCCTCTCTCGATCACACTCGATCACTCAAGTCTAAAATGGTAGTGAACGTTATACAATGTTTTCTTACAAACTATATACACTTCCCCCCACTTGTTTCCAGATAGAGGTTGTAGGGGGTGATGCTTGGCATTGCCAGTTGGAGCTTCGGGGTCAATGACACCCATCTCGATCAGGTTTTCGTTCAGTTTCTCTGATCCTCGAGAAAATACTGAGATGGTCCCTTGTTTTGCTTCTGGACATAAATTTAACTTCAAATTAACTTCTCCCTATATCACGTCACACACAGTGCGCGCTCCGGATGGCCCACATCAAGGGTGAGGGTGAGCGCCTCGAGCGAGGGACTTTTGATGTCACGGCGGGCGAAAGGCCCTATGTGACCCTAAGAATTATGTGGAGGTCAAAGGGTTAGGCGTTAGAACCTAGAGCCTTCTACACTATTTGGGTATGGGATGGGAACGGAGTTCCAGGATACAATTTATCGGTCACAGAAGACGCCTTTTACTCTGGTTCCAACATACACTTTATCGGGTCACAGAGGACGCCTTGTCCTCTACTCTAATTGAATGCGTAAGTCCTCTCTTGCTCTGGGGTACATGGCTTACTTTTGTACGTAGGGATGTAACTCCTCCCCACCCAGATGCAATTCGCCGTCCTCGGGGATTTGCTTTGCCTCCAGACGTACCAACACTTTGAGAATGTCCATATACGACATTTTTCTACACACATAACATACAAAAGAAAATAAACAATATAAAACCAATATCAACTACATTAAATTTTTTTCCATATAGTATCAGTGGATGGAGGAACTAGGTCTAATTTTAGTTTATTTACATCAGGGTGGGACGGTTGAAATTGGATTTGTAGTTTTACAATATGTTCGTTATACACATTAATAAGTGGAAATTCCATAACATGACTGGTCGACTTTGGTTCCAAAGTATATAGTACTCATGGCTGATATAGAACAATTTACATTGCTATAAATCAGGTGTGGATCTGGTAGTTCTATAGAGATTTGATTATCTTTGTAGGTTTGCATTACAATTTCTTTATGGGATGAGAAAAATATAATATTATTTTTTGTTAAGGAGTCGAAACAACTTTACTTCATTATTTACTTGAGCGGAATCAGATTCTGTGGTCTTTGTTAGGTTACAACTAGTAACTCTTTATGTTGTAATAAATACAAGCATACGTCAATGTGTCTTTTGTGCAATCTTTGGTGGATCACTTAGAAGTAGGGCCCTGGAGATAATTTCTCGCAGAAGGAATTAACACACTGTTGTTAATAGTGGGTACAGGTGTCATTGCGTTCAAGTGGTAGTTATAACCACCAGTTCTTGGTACTGATAGTATTACGACCAATTCCTGGTCTATTATGACAATCTCGGTTTTTGTGAATTTGAGTTTCTCACAAATATCACTCACTCTCACTCTCAAAATATCACTATGAACAAAAGATTTGGCAGGGTATACAGCATACAAATGATTCATTACATTGGGAACATCTTCGTTGGAGAACTGAACGTTCGTGATGTCTTGGAAAGAGAGACTTATGGTATTTTCTAGAGTTCGTACGATCTTCAAGAATCTTCTTAATCACATTGTAGTATATTGATACTGCGCTAAAATGTCTACTTTGAAATCCTGCTTCGACACTATTTGTCGAATTAACCCCGTTTAAATTTATGTGATTCATTTTATTTACGAAACGAATTACTATACGAGACTAGTTCGTTAATATGCCGCATTTCCTGACTCCGGTCCGTTTGCAGGGCGGTAATTTGTGCTTAGAGCGTATCATAATCACCCTGATCTAAATTATCTGAAATTAATTTTATAATTTTTCCTAGACCATTGACGAGATCTCTTTTGTTTCTATTGTGCGTAGGGAGTAATTTCGACAGTTCCTTTTCCGCTTCATTTAGTAGCATCGATATCTTGTAAGACAGGAAGGGAAAGGTGTAATTACTTTTTTATCCGAGGAGTTGGTTGTATTTCTTACCTAGGAGAACGTTTCTGTTTAAGTTGTTACATTGAAATGAAAAACATTTGTGGTAATTATCGATGACGACTTCTGGGTCGAGGGCGTCGGCGCAGAATCCTTGAGTTTCGATTAATTTCATCCTCATTCCGTCACATCGGGCCGCGCTTCTGTAACCGAACGTTTTCGCTACGCTTTTCGTGGCGAATATGTCTCACATGGATCTTCCCGATTTTCATTTTACATTGGATCATGTTGGGTTCAGTTTTTACAACTTAGCCTTCGCGATACAAGTTTTTTTTTTGTACGCGATAGCGGGTCCTTTACATAAATAATGTCACCTATTTGACATTCATGGAGAAAGGGGGCCTTTTCTGACCGGGGATTACAAGCAGCCGTTTCTTGCACTTGCATTGCTTTGTTAATGATATATTCCTCTAGATGGGTTGTAGGTATGAATATGTGATCTACAGTGTTGTAATGAGATCCTATTGTGACTGCAAAGGGGGATTCTTGGTAGTGGAATGAATGGAAGAGTTGTACAGCGTGATTGCATCAATTATAATGTGTGCTAAGGGACTGTTTCTGTCATTGCTTCTAAGAATTCCAATTTTTTCGAGCAGAGTAGAATACAATCTTTTTGCAGGTGAATTTGACGAAGAGTTCAGAGGGGTCGTGACACGGTAAGTAATATTATGGGGCTTGCAAAAATTATCAATCTGTGTATTTTGAAATTGCTCGCATCGCAAAAGTTATGCATTTTTAAACTAGTGCTGTAATTGTAATAAAAATGTGATATTTTACGACTTTAAAGAACAAAATATGTTTTTCCATTTGATATGTATTATCATTACATTTAAAAAAATAATTTTTGTCCAATTTTATTTTTTTAATTTATTTTTAAACTTTGACAGTTAAAAAATTTGAAAAAAATACCATTGTGATCTCTAAAAAGTTCTACATAAAAGTGAGGTAAGTTACAAAATGGGACACCGAGACGAATATGAGAAATTAAATACAATAGAAATGTCTACATGCTGTTTTGCTGCCGCGTCCACTAGAGCGGCACCCCTCAAACACGTGCCAATGAGCAGTAGACGATTACCTACCATCAATATACTTATAGACTTATAAACTTATAGATATATACATATGACCTTCATAGCCGATTAAATCCAAATTAAAAAGTGTCGAAATGATTGGTATTCAACAGACTGAATATTTATACCAACAAGAGTATGTGATACAGTTAATTAAATTGATACTTCTTTTACTTCACTTTACAGATAATACGGTTCATTGATCTGTTCGTAAAGAAATGGAACTATTTTCTTTGTGCCTTCTACTGTTTTTTATCATATCATAGTTGCAATACTCCTCTTTCTAAATATTCACCGCTACTAAAAAATATATTATAGGAAAATGTTCTTCACATTATCACCTATCCA